TTCTGGTATTACTGAAAGTAAATTTAGCAATAAGTGGGTTGATGGCTTTATGACTCGTTACAAATTAAGTAATCAGCATCGAACATCCATAGCTCAAAAACTCTCTAAAGATCTGTGATTGCAACAAAAAGAGTTTTTAAGTTTTGTACAATATAATTGAATTCAATATAATTATCCTCTTGCCTTAATGGGTAATATGGACGAAACCCCATTATCATTCAATCTTTCAAATAATACTACAATTGATAATTGTAGTGCAAATACATTTTTAATTCGGACCTGTGAACATAAAAAATCATGTTTTACCATTGTACTTACTTGTTTAGTTGATAAGACTAAATTGCCTCCAGTTATTATTTTTAAATTAGTCAATATTCCACAGCAAGTATTTCTTGCTGGAGTTTTTGTGTGTACAAATCCTAAAGAATGAATGAATGAAGATGAGATATTATGGTGGATTAAAAATATGTGGAATTTGTGATCAAGAACATCAGTTGACCCATGTTCACTTTTAGTTTTAGATTTATTCATGCTCATATTTCTGATATAGTTAAATGTCGATTTTTTGAAAAAAACACAAATTTAGCTATAATTTCAGTAGGTTTAACCTCAAAAGTTCAATTATTGGATATTGCTATCAATAAATCATTTAAAGCAAGGATAAAGTATATATATTATATATTATATAAATAAATATAATAGATTTCTTTATTTATCTTATATGTATAGGTGCGAAATTATTATAACGATTGGATAGCCAGTGAAATTTATACTTTTACTAAAAAAGGTTGTATTCGACGTCCTGCATACAATTTAATTGCTCAATAGATATTAAATGCATGAAACAGTATAGATTCTATACTTATTCATAAATCTTTTAAGTGCTGTGGTATTTCTAATTCACGAGATAGAAAAGAAGACTGTCTAATTTTTGACTATGATCAACTTGGACTACAAACAAATTCACGTAATCATATATATATTCATGAAAAATCAAGTGATATTATTGAAGGTTTTAGGGTTAATACACAAGAAGGTTCTAGCAATAATACAGAAGAAGGTTTTAGCGATAATATGGAAAAAGGTTCTAGTAATAATATGAATGAAAGTTTGAATATTGATATAAATGAACGTTTAAATACTTATACAGGTAAAATTTAAACTTTAAATTAATATGTTTATATATTAAATAATTCTGGTAACTTAATTTAAATTTAGTAGAAGAAATCAATTTAATCAGCAATAATGATAGTCAAGTTAATGGAAATGAATATGAACATATTAGTGAAAGCGAAAATAGTCATATTAATGAAGATGAATATAACTATATTAGTTAAAATGAAGATGATTATACTAGTAAAAATGGTAGTCATTTTATTAGCGATAATGAGGATAGTTATTACAACGTAGCAGAAACTGACTATATTAATGAATGGTTTTAAATAAATAATTTTATTAATTTTATTAATATCTAATATCAATATGTTCTATTTTATATTACTTGTAATTTATTAAAACTTTTTATATCTGGGTTAGGAACCTTTAAATTCAATTTTATCTTTTTTTTACATTGTACTGCTAGTTTTATATGCAAAGAATTGTTAGATAAAATTAGCAATATAGAT